GGTGTAATATAAAAGTTCAAGTTCATTAAATCTGAACACAGTTTATTGGCCAGCTTTGCAACTAAACTCTTGAAACAATCCCCTTTGATATCGTATTGTACTCCGTGCCTTTTTCAAATGTCGTGCACATTGAGATACGCGTTTGTTGTGCGTTGTGTGTTATGTGTCGTCCCCATGGGTTGCAAACATACTGAATTCTTTAGAAGTACCACGCGCTTTGCTCCCCAGATTCAACGAATAGGAACAGTAATGTACTCTAACAAGTCACCTCCGTTGTTCAGAACCGGAACGTCGTTTCAAGCATCTTGAATTTGAGAGGATTCTAACACAATTGGGTTCATTCCTTTTTGTTAGAAATGGTCGTTGGAGTAGCACAAACGCTTTTCGCACACATCGAAGGAATCATCGAGCCACGCCACACTTGACTAGAATGATTTACACACACTGTGGGTCTTTTTGTAGAAACTGAAAGATCTTGATGGGTTTAGCGCAGACAATACCTCCATATTGTAGCAATTTTACCTTCGCAATCTTTGCAAAACAACTGCACAGCACACTACCAACCCATGAAGCCTGCTCGCACAAAGACAAGGAGAGGAATCCACGCAATCCAAGAACTCCCAAGCACACAAGCCAAATCCAGATGGCAGCCAGAGAACTGAGCCCAATCGCGGTCATAGATGTGGGGGCATCATGGTCACAGACACGACCCCCTAAGTTGAGCGTCAAACTCACCCAGCTGGACCAGGCCCCTGTTTCCGCGCCTCCCGCTCTTCGCAAATTTGCCAGCCTCCTCCTCCTCCTCAAAGACACATGTCATCGCAAAGTTTTGAATTAGCTGCGGCGTGGATGTTGTTCTTTCCATTGTTATTACATTTGTTGGCCAGGAGGCGTGCAGAATCTGTTCTGTGCCGGTATGTGGGCGCCTTCTTTATTGTCGTAGTAAGAGATGAATTGGGTGTCAGCTTTGTGCGGTTGCTTTTGGCCTCGTTCCGATGGTGTGAGTCGTTAGGTTGAAGTGCTCCGAAAGGATTTAATTTTTCTAATTTATCTATGAGATTTGAAAACTTGGGTTGGTTTCTGAGGTTGTGGGGAGGATTCCGAGATGGTGTGGTGGATTGAGTGGCGGTGCGAAGCAGGATTGGAATCGTGAAGCTGTTTTGAAGATTTTTCTGATTGGTATCTGGAGGTGCTGAGGAGAGGGAAGAGTAGTTGCTGTGTTGATTGACGACGAGGGAAGTGTAGTGTGCTGTAGGAACGGTTAGGGGTGTGAGGCTTGAGATTTATGGAAGAGTGATTCCAGATGGCTAGGGTATATAATTTACTTCAAGAAGATAATATACATTTTAAAGTTTTGGGGATTGATTGTATAGGTGAGCAGCTGAGATCGTGGTATTGAAGAGTGGAGGTCGAGAAATCTAGTGTTGAGGTTGTGGAGTGACTCCTTTTGCCATACTCCACTCGTGATGATGGTCCCAACAGGAGAGCAACTTTTATGGGATTCAATTTCTGTCGGAAGCAGTTAGGGGAATCTCGTACTTTAGGGTATTGTGGAGCAGAAGTCAGTCAATTTTTGATGTCTGCAAGAACTTGATGCACTTTTTTTGCGGGCCATTTTATAACGTCAGAGCTCGAAATATTTGCAGATTTACAGGTTGGCATCGTTTGCAGATAAATACCAATTCACGGCCCACAGTACATGTACATTTAATCGGTGCTTGATATGCCACTCTTGCGTAGTTATGTTAGCCAGTGGTAGCTGGTTCAATTACCGAGCGAGTGCGAACGCATCTTAGTGTTAGTCATGGGTTGAATTCTGTACAGAGAGTTTCTTGGAAAAATTCACTTAGTATTAAATCTTATAAGCATTCGCGAATTAGTTGCAATTCGCATTATTGTCTAGTTTGCACTGAATTTCTAGGTTAGACCTTGTGTTCAACTCGCATCTATGAATAGACCTCGCATCGTCGGATGGGACTACACACTTCGTGACAGCTTATTTATGTCACAATCTGAATCCTTGCTCAATGTTGTTTTGTTTCAGGTGGTAACTTAAGCAAGTGCAGTGGATTCACGCACTCGTTGGAATCTAGCAATCACTGTTACGATTCAGCATTTGTCATCAATCCACAATTGGTCACCTTCGTCGAATATATTATCTAAAATCTAGTCGGAAGTATTTTAGTGATTACGGCTGGGCAAGCAAACACTTGGAGGTTCAAAGCCACCGATGGCATAATTAGCCTGTATATGTGAAATAGGGTGGAAAGTGATCATTTCGGGCACTGCATCGGCATTTTCTTTGCGTCATCCGTTCTGCATTGGTGTCCGTTTCACACGATGTTGGAGCCCAAACCCTAGTGATCGATTTACTATGAGGGTGCAGAATGGCGGCCCTTGGTTTCAACTCCACCATCATCGGTATCTTGATCTTGTTCTTGCACGTAGTCTTTTATTCCAGCTGCAGCACATCGGACCATGCGGTCGCTTTGTGGGTACCGACAAGGAGCCTGATACGAGAACCTCACCCTGGTGGGAGACCTGATCGGAGACTTAGGCAGAGCCCGGGAACACCACTAACTCCCGATGTTTACCATAAGTATGCCGAACAGTCCCTGACATGTGAAGAGGATTTATTGGGGGCGGGCTCTTTGGAAACGGTGTGTGTGCTCAAGCAATCCGTGTCCTTCGCTGCAGATGAAACCTTTGTGGTCGGAAATGGAACCTTAGAGATTCAACCCAACGTTTCTATCTCGTGCATCAAATCTGGGTGTAGTCTAACTATACTGCTAGATGGGGACCTGAATATGGGTGAAAATTCCACCATAAGAAGCAGTTCGTTGTGGATACAAGCCGCTAATGTGAATATAGGAGATGCTGCCAGTTTGGACTCCTCTGAGTTTGGAGGAAAGCCTCCGTCTGGTGCTAGTGGTACGCCGTCTGGAATTGACGGAGCAGGAGCTGGTCATGGAGGTCGGGGTGCGTACTGCGTGAAGGATCACAGTAAAGAACAAAGAGATAGCTGGGGTGGTGATATGTATGGCTGGTCAACGCTCATGCAGCCGTGGTTTTACGGCAGCAGCGGTGGAACTACAAGTAACACCTCTGATCTTGGGGGTAAAGGTGGGGGCAGAGTGAATGTCACAGTGATGGGAATCCTAGTGATCAATGGCTCAATTGAGGCGGATGGGGGCTCCGTTGGGGAAGAGGGGGGTGGTGGATCTGGAGGCAGTCTTTTCGTGCGAGCATCTAGAATGTAAGTTATTTAAGCTTCCCAAGTAGCTGGATACATTCGGTTGTTTGTTTCAAAAGTTTGGATGAACTCAGTGTGTGTGGGTTAGAGTAGTAGATGGTGGTATATTTATGATTTTGGTTGGAGATGAGGTCTTTTACTCAATTTGGACAGATTCTTTGCGGGTGAGCTTGCCTGGTTTTGCATACGGTTCTAGATGCTCAGATTTGAGGTGGTGGTTGCAATGTGATGCAAATGCTTTCTGTGTTATCATGCTGTGCTGTTTTCAACTCCACTTGGACAGAAGTTTTTGACGGCAGAAGATCTGGTATACCTTGAGTGCAGAAAAGGGAATGGACAAATCAGTGCTATTGGTGGTTCCGGTCGAGGAGGTGCTTCAGGAGGGCGTATTGCAATTGACTCCATGAGGCTTGATGGTGTGACTGTCCGTTATCATGGTTAGTTTTTCTGTTGACTCCAAGAGGACTGATGTTGTGACTTTGCGCTTACTCTTGATGAGCACAACTGTTACTAAGTTCTTGCAATTTTAAGTTTTTATTTTATTTAATTTTAATTTTAATTTTTTTGTTGTGCTTATTACATGTAGAACAGAGCGATGAAACTGTAGAATGAAAACCATGTCCAGGCGTTTTGGTTGTAAGCTTATACGTTCATTTCATGTTGAAGCTGGAGGTGAAACGAGGTTCATAGAAAGTTTGTTAGGTGCAACTTGATGAAACACTGCTGTTTTCAACTTCTGGCAGGTGGGGATAGTTTAACCTGTCTGCAAAACAATGGGGCCTCAGGCACACGGTTTGACATTTTCTCGGCAACCTTATATGTCTCTAATAGCAACAAGACAACTTCTACTGACACGTTACTGCTGGAGTTTCCTAACCACCCTTTATGGTCCAAAGTGATTGTGGAAAATAATGCGAGTGTATTAGTCCCTCTGCTGTGGAGCAGAGTACAGGTACCTGTTTGAAATTAAATCTGTCCCGGCCTATTGTTATGATCTTTCCTGCAATATTGCTGCCTCCGAATCCAAAGAGATTGAGAAAGGCATCATCTATATTTGGTTTAGATTTTTTGTGTGTGATAATTTACTAAAAACCTTTTCTATCAACTTCAAAAAAGATTTGATGTTTCGGGAAGATTCTCATAGTATAATTGGTCTTGTGAGTGTGGATTAAAGTGTTTTTTTAGATTTAAGTACTTTGAATGTGTTCATGACTGTTGAAGGGGAAAATGAAGTCCCAGGGTTTTCCGATGTTTTCCTTGTTGAAGACACTTAGAAACTATTGCTGATATAATCCTTTTGTTAGACATGGGCAAAACAGATGAGCTTTTTCACAAGTTTTCTTATTTGATGTTCGCTTCATGGCCGAAATTTGATGCAGGTTCGTTCCATGATTACGTTGCAGTCGGGAGGTCTCCTTAGTTTCGGCTTGGCTTCATTTTCGAGCTCTGTGTTTGAGTTAGTGGCAGAGGAGGTGCTCATGAGTGATTCTACGATCAAGGTGTATGGGGCTCTCAAATTGACTGTGAAGATGCTGCTCATGTGGAACTCGACCATCAAAGTAGATGGCAATCCCGATGATTTTATGTTGGCTACGTCCACTGTTGAGACCAGCAACTTAGTTATTTTACGGGTGAGTATGCTGAGCTTTCTTCCCACATGCAACCAGTTCAAATTGAGCCATTGTCGTAAGGATTCTGTCATGTGTGTTTTAACTGAACAGGAGATGCAAAATACCCTTAAAAATCATGGACCTCCGCATATTTTAAAATTGCCATGTATCGTCTATATTTTAAAAAACTATAGTTATTGTTTGCAATATATCATGAAGTTGTCTTTGTTTAATGGCTATCCTGATCATTCCAGGAAGGGTCAGTGATCGAATCAAGTGCAAATCTAGGAATGCATGGACAGGGTTTGCTGAAGCTCTCTGGTCCTGGTGACATGTTAAGAGCACAACGACTTTTTGTTTCATTATTCTATACTGTGCATGTAAGTCGAGTTCGAACCTTATATTGCGGGAACTCTTATACATGAGACATCTTTTTGGAATGGGTCATTGTACTTTGGTTGTTCACCGATCCTTTTGCTTAAGAAATCCCTCATGTGGTATGTTGATAAACCAAGCTTTGATGCTAAGGGATAAATTTGGTTGCTAGGTTGCTAAAGGAGCACTGATGCAGGCGCCACTTGAGGAAGACTCTCCAATTAAGGAGGAGTAAGTTTTTGTACTGTCTTTGTTTCTTAAAATATATCGAATTGTATTTCAGAGTTTGGTGCACGATTTTTAAGCTTCACAAACTTCAACGTGTATCCAAGTATATTTTGCTAGGCGATCGTTGTATCACTGTGAATACACTCATTCCCTTATGGATTTGTTGTCATGTGAAAACTGTATACACAGGATCTCAAAAATTTATTGTGAAAACAATATTTGCCCAGAAGAGGTGCTAATGCCCTCTGAAGACTGTACGCTGAATGTCTCATCCCCATTCACAATGCAGGTATGGCGTATTATTGGTTTCATCCTTCTTTACATGTTCGTACTGACCTCCTGAATGGAACTGATTATGAATTGTTGCTTTTGTGAAGTGTAAGTAGGCGTTCGTCCTTTAATATTCCAAGCAATACTGATGTGCTGGGCACCAGCTTCCAGTGAACTTAAAAGTCATACCTGGGATTCTATGCTGTCTAAAGTGCACCAAGATTCATTTAGTTCGCAAAGATATTAGGGCCCAAAAATCTGAGTGTAGTCGGTGATTCTAAGAATGTAAAGACAGGTACCGTCGTATTAATGCTCATCAACGCCTTTGGTCAGATCTGCCGTGTTGAAGATGTGCACATCAATGGCACTGTTTTGGGAAGCGCTGTTCATGTACAGCGAGTCAAGACAATCTCAATTCGAGGCCTTTTTTCTTCGTCATCACTAGGTGTGTCTCTTTACGCCTTGAAGCAGCCGCATGCTGTGCCTCAGCGTTCGAGAAGTGATACACTTTTGAGTTTTTCCACTGAGTTTGTGACTTTCAATTGCAAGTTCAATATGTATGTCGAAGCAACTGTGCGAGCTTCTCGAAGCTGGATTCTTATTTAAAGTTTTACTGATATTGAAAAGATCTAGAGCCCCGGACATGGTGATTTGAGGGATCCGATGTGTTTACATTTTGTCAATAACGCTTTCTGAACCTTCTGTAACTGGTGACGTGAGCTTTCTTTCAACCTTTCTGGAACTGATGTAGTGTATGATTCTGTCAGGTTGTGAAGGAGGACTTGGAAGAGGAATGATTGGATCAGCTGGTGCAGCAGGTGGTGGTGGCCATGGTGGTAGAGGTGGTAAGGGCTATTACAAAGGCCATTCTGCCGATGGTGGTGCAATCTATGGCAACCATAAGCTTCCCTGTGAGTTCGGCAGTGGTAGTGGCAATGCAAGTTTTGGGGACTCTACGACAGGTGGCGGTATCATAGGTTTGCTACATGCTGCCCACCACCATTCTCATCAGTTAATCTTACTTTTGAAAAATCCCAATATATCATGTTTCCTTGGGCATGCTACTGCCATGAATCCCATGAAGTTGCTACTCAATTAACATACTTTCTTGACATGAATTTCATACAATTGTGTGATCTGCATGTATGAAGTGGCTTGTCTGGACTTGGTGAGCACCACTGTCAGCATTAAGTGATATTGCTTGACAATCACGTGCACTTTCAATTAATGTGACGTGTGTTCGAAGACGTTACTCAACTCGGTTACACACTGCGCTGTGGCTTTGCAGTTATGGGCTCTAGCGAACATCCTATCAGCAAAATTGAAATTTTTGGAGCCCTCTCTGCGGATGGTGGGAGTTTTAATGCATCGCAAGGCCATGCTAGGGGTTCAGGGATGGGTGATCCAGGTGGAGGCTCTGGTGGTAGCCTACTTCTGTTTCTGCAGACATTGGTCATGGGGAACGAATCTATACTATCAAGTGCAGGAGGTCACGGTGGTCCAGTGGGTGGTGGAGGCGGTGGTGGTGGCCGACTCCACTTTCATTGGTCCAACATTCCCACGGGGATTGATTTTGTCCCCATTGCTTACGTCAAGGGCGTCTACCATACCAGGTTCTTACACATTCTTTCATGAAAGGAAAGAATTGGTTATGATTAAGACCTAATTTTCAATTTTCAACTATCAAAGCAGGGACCTCTAATCCTTGTCTGATAGGAAGATAAAGTTGAGCTAATTAGAGCTGTTTGGATGTATAGACGTGTAGCGGTCGTATGTGTCGAAGTTGATCTTGATTATTACTGATGTGTGAACAGGGGTGGTCATGCTGGAGAAGACGTTATTCATCCTGAAGGTGACAAATCTGAAAAAGGAGAAGATGGTACTATAAGTGGAATTGATTGTCCACCTGGCCTGTATGGCATCTTCTGTGAGGTTTGTAACCTCTTTGCTGTTCTGTTCAAGTGTGTTTCGTCTGTAATAGCAGCACGTGATTTTGGTTAAAGTCTCCAATTTTAAGGAAGCATGGAAAAACTGTTTTTAGTAGGCTACTAGCTTCAGTTATTGGAGTACTTGCAAATGCTTATGCATTAGAATCTTAAAGTTGTGGACAAAACTAGCTAATGTACATCAGTTTTTTCAATCTGTATATTGGGTGTTATCATAACAGGAGTGTCCAGTTGGAACGTTTAAGAATGAGACTGGCTGGAAGCCTGAGTTGTGTAAGCCATGTCCACCTGAGAATCTGCCAAGGCGTGCTAATTACACATATGCTCGTGGTAACTTTTCTCTACTTTCTGAGTTACTCTTAGATCCAAGTTATATGTTCTGTACTGGCTTTGAAGTTCACTTCGAGTTAACATGCTTATGCTGATGTTTTTCACAGGGGGTGTCGTTGAGACAGCTTGTCCTTATCAGTGCATTTCAGACAAGTATCACATGCCAAACTGCTACACCATGGTGGAGGACCTGATCTACACGCTTGGTGGTCCTTGGTTGTTTACACTTTTGCTCTCAGTTGTCATGGTTGTTTTGGCTATGGTGTTAAGTGTTGCGCGAATGAAGTTGGTTGGCAATGATGACTTCACTGGACCTGCTCCTACACCACATGGGGGACATATCGATCATTCCTTCCCATTTTTGGAGTCCCTTAACGAGGTTTTTTTCCTTCCTCAACTCCTACAGTTGCTTCACCACAGCTTGATTCCAACTGTTACTTACCTGGAGTGTCCTGTGCTGAAAATTTTAAGATGTTTGTTACAGGTGCTTGAGACTACGCGAGTGGAAGAGTCACAGAACCATATACATCGCATGTATTTCATGGGCAATAATACTTTTAACGAGCCATGGCACCTTCCTCATTCCCCTCCTGAGCAGATTATGGATCTTGTGTAATTTCTTATCTTTTATCGCATCCATTCGTCAGTTATGCTTTGGCATTTGACATACTTCCTTTTAAATGGTTGCGTCTGAGTTTTATCACTTGTTTCAGGTATGAGATGTTTGATCACTTGAGCAATGCGTGATTTGATTGTGTAAGAAAGTTCTTTTTGCGCTCATATGTGTCCTTGATTGGCAGTTATGAAGATGCTTTCAACAGATTTGCAGAGGAAATCAACTGTCTGGCAGCTTATCAATGGTGGGAAGGATCGGTGCACAGTATTTTGTCAGTATTGGCATACCCAGTCGCATGGTCATGGCAGCAATGGCGTGCACGTAAAAAATTTCAGAGACTGCGGGAGTATGTACGCTCAGAATACGATCATGCATGCTTAAGATCTTGCCGATCTCGGGCACTCTATGAAGGGCTAAAGGTGACTTATTCTGGACTTTCGGAATATCTTTAAGTGCACAGCTGATTCAATGTTTTTCCGAAAAATAGTAACACGGTCATGTCTTCATCCTCACTTATGAGATAGCCCGTGTACACCTCCTATCTTTGTTACCATGAATTTTGAAGGGAGTAAACCTATTGTTTATGCCCTAGGTTTCCGCTTATTTACGTACTGCAACGTGATTATTAATCCGTCGCTACTTTTTAGGTTCCTATATACATGTGTACAATTTGACGTGCATTGATGATTGTCTATATTACATGACTCTTGGCTGGTCTTTCTGTGAGAATACAGCATTTGTGCTGTTGGTGTTCATGAAAACGAAAATCTAATACTCATCAGACTTTTCTGAGCTAAACATGATTTACGGTGTTTGTTGTTGTTGGAGGGCTTTGAATGTATCCAACTCTCAAGCTTGGTCTGTGCAGGTGGCTGCAACACCTGATTTGATGCTGGCGTATATTGATGTATTTCTGGGAGGAGACGAAAAACGACCTGATCTGCCTCCCAAGCTGATGCAAAGATTGCCAATGACCATCATTTTTGGGGGCGAAGGCAGCTATTTGGCTCCTTACAGCCTCCACAGCGACAACTTACTAACCAGCCTAGTTGGCCAGGTAAAATCCTTTGTCATAAATAATAGAAATGATGTTTACTCATTTGATTCACAAGTATACGTGCGCTAGTTAATCCAATTCGTTGATTCAATTGCAGTTAAGCTGGCTTTCTCATCTAGATGCCGTATGGAGTTGCATCCATTGGTTTTGTAGTAGGTGCCATAATGTGTATGTCGTTGAATATGTGGTGTGGTTTATGAAAACAGGCTGTCCCTTCAACAATGTGGTACAGAATGGTAGCTGGTCTGAATGCGCAGTTACGAACAGTGCGAAGGGGATCCCTTCGCAGCAGCTTACTGCCTGTCATGAACTGGCTAAGTACCCATGCCAACCCAAGGCTATCAACTGTTGGTGTTCGAGTGGATATGGCTTGGTATCAAGCTACAGCCACAGGCTACTATCAGCTTGGCTTAGTAATGAATCCTGCTGACGATGCTCCTCAGTCCTTGCAGTTTCCAGATGAACTAAGCCCAAGTAGTTTTTCAAGGAGGTGCTACTACTAAACTAAAGACTTGTTGTCCAATCGATTGTTTGAGTCATTGCTGGAGACTCTTTCAGTACCTAGAACCAGTATTAGAATTCGATCTATTCAAATGAAATTTCATCTAGCAGTGCAGGAGTATGTCATGTCGATGCATTTGCCATCGACGAAAGGGATATATTTACAGTGTTGGATATTGACGTCTCTTTTTGCTTTCTTGGGCGCATCTTTTGAGAATTGTCCTTCACGTATGCTACTCTACTTCAGAAACTTTACTAACTTATCTTTGGTGCAGTAGAAATTATATCCCATCAGACCAGGATGGCAGATTCAATGCACCCCAACAATGGCAGTTTAGTCACGGTTACTCTCAATTGGGCTTTTCAAGGCGACGAACTAGTGGTGCAGTTATAGATCCTACTAATCTACGTTCACTGGAAGAAAAGCGTTATCTATTCTTTCCAATATCACTTCTCCTCAGGAATGCAAGACCAGTTGGTCATCATGTAATTTTTCTTGACTTTTTTCTTTTTTGATCTGCTGTTATGCTACATTGATGCTTTGGTGTCATATTTGCGAAGCATTTGCTGCTTTAGTTTTGATGAAGAGAGATGACAAAAAAAAAAGTTGCATTTATTCTTGTTCTTAATTACAAGTTTTTTCAAACCATCATAATTAATCCTAATCTGCGTAAATCTTGCCAAGGAGTCACGCAAATAGGACAACTGTTTAATTTAATCCTACAGTGTGCTGGAGGATCTGTAATTGTTTCTTCGCCAATCACGGTGATTCTATGTGCAGGCTTCTGTGGGACTCGTTATATCTCTGCTGCTGCTTGTGGATTTGAGTTTGACACTCCTGATGCTGCTCCAGTTTTACTCAATATCGTTGGGGGCAATGCTGGGAATTCTGCTGGTGCTACCTTTTGCATCAGTTCTCCCAAGTGCTGCGGGACTGAACGCTCTTTTCAGTCATGGTCCTCGAAAATCTGCTGCTCTAGCACGGATTTATGCTCTCTGGAACATCACTTCGTTTGTGAACCTTGTAATTTTTCTAATCCTCACTTCTGTCATTTTCCTATGTCCAGCACAGCTTTTGTGTCCGATGATTATCTACACACCTATCACTCTACTTTTAGTGCACTGTAATCAGTCATTGTCCTGCATTTACCTTCTGGGATTTTGAGGCATTGGATTTTTGAAAGGGCGAGGTCAGAATTGTGGTACGTGGAATGATATTAATGCTGCTTTCATTATGGGTGCAGCTGACAGCATTTATCTACGGATATATTCATTATGTCATGAAGTTTGGTGCTGCTGGTTCCGATCTGCAGGGCCTCAATTCGTAAGTCGCTTCTTATTCTTTCGAGCGTTTGTTTTAATTTTCCGGTTCCACTCTGATCAAGATCCGAATCACTCACGGAGATGAGCTGATAGTGTCCATAGGGAACAGTGGTACAAAGTGACACTAAATGAATATGGAAATTCCTAATGTCACTGTCCTAATCCTGGTCAATTCCATTTCCCACACTCATTTAGTATATATCGTGACAGTTATTCATCGTCATAAGATGTTAATCAAAAAGATATCACGTAACTAACCCGGTTCTTTTGGCTATACGCAGGGAAGAGGAAAGTTGGTGGCTATTTCCGGCACTACTGGTTCTGGAGAAAAGTGTGCAAGCTAGAATGATTGATCTCCATATTGCCAATCTTGAAATTCAGGACCGCTCTTTGTATTCAGAGGATGCCAGCAGATTCTGGGAATCTTGATTAAACTTGTAGTTTATTGTAATGTTAGACTGTCAAGTTGCCGTCCAGATGGGAGTGAACAAAAGACGAGGCAGCTACTGTTTTTTCTGCTGAGGGGATGGTTGTGGAGAGATGCCTGGATCTATAATTTTTGTGTTAAGGATTCGAAAGGTCGCGCGTTGGAAGGTGGCAGCTAGCTTAAGGAAATATCGATTTGGCATGCTATTGAATGGCTTTGAAAGAGTTTTGTTAGACGTAGGGGGGTATATTATAGCAGGAGGCAACACAAGTAGAGGCGTTGTGAGTGTTCATATTCTGTTCTACAAGTTCCACAATGTATTTGTAGACCAACTTCAAGGTGCATTTGTTACAGCTTAGTGTTTGCTTAATGTTCTCAATGGTATTTAGTCAGGTTATCATTAACTTGGTGGGGCATTTTGGAATTGGCCCTAAAACTCTTGTAGAATTTATTGTACAGATCTCATTGGCACATATACTGATTCTTCAAGAATGCGGTTCTGATAAGTGATTTAAATTGGCTGGAATCGTGTTGCTGTTACTCTTTTTTATTCTTTGTTTTGTTGTGTGTGTGTGTGTTTTTTTTTTCCCCTTGCCTCACACTTTCGGTTGCAGCGTGGGCAAGGACATTAAAAGCACTTGGTCAGGATTTTCCTGAAGTTGCAGCGTTGCAGAAGTTGAAGTGATGTCCCATTTCGAGGTTGTAACAATTGTGTGTTGGCTTTGATTGATGTTTGTTTTAAGTTTACAGGGTAAAAGGTAGCAGATATGGCACTAGGTTATGTGACACCGTATTCTATGTTCAGATCAGCTGGTGTCAGTTCTTGTCATTCACTTATCACACAACAGTGCATATAAAAAATTCTGTTACAGATGGAAATGAAATCCACAAATGTATCCTTCCCAAGCATTCGTTTGCTCACTGGATGAACAATGGAGCACTTAAATCACTATTCTATCAACCTTGAAATTGAGTTGTCACGGTTAAAAACCACTGGGCATTTGACAGTCTCGTTCATTCCACGTGAAAAATGAGCTCAACCCAAACCACAAGTGCAACTGTGACCTCCAATACATACTTGCAATTGTGACCACACAAGCCGATCAAACCCTTCCACATAAAGTCCACATCCCAAGAGTCAAGTAAAATTGTCCAGTGGATAGAATTGTGTGTACAGAACCAGAAAATCCATTCAACTCTCATTCATAAAGCCTCTCATTCTCGCAGTAGAGCCAAGCGTCTCTCATTCTATCAACAGGACAAATTCAACCAAAAACTCGTCCTGAACTGACTCTTCCTCTATCATCGAAGAAGCCAAGCCGCAGGAACTGAATCTGGTTTATCGCCATCCCAACTCAAATATCTCCCGACAAATCGTAGAAACATGGAGCTTTTTCATGGGCATTAACCAAGCGGAGCATTCAACACTCATTTCACTCATCCAGTATCTACTTTTGTTGTTTGTTGGATATACTTGCCTATCAACTACTTGTAACAAATCATCCACATGAAAACACCTTTTGATAAAAAGGTAAAAAGGTAAACAATAACTTTATTTTTAGTAAATACCAAGTTGACACAAGTTAAATCCAAGTTGATATAAGAAAAGCCACAAGGGCATTGTTTTATATAGAGAAAGAAAAAGGATTTGGCAAAAAAACACTCTATACCTATAAGCTTACAAAAACATTACTACTAATAAAGTGGATGAATGATTAAGTATCAATATATAAAAATACACTACAAAGTAAACAATATGATGTAGTAAAGTATTTGATTCTATGAATGTTTGCATGTATTGTGTTTCTATATGATATTAGAAGAAGTTTGACACAAAGCAATGTGTTTTTGAAAAATAGAATAGAGTGACTAAAAGAACTAAATATTGTAGTTGCCAAAGAGATGGCTAGGCAACAATTAAAGATTGATTTGTAGACGTCTTTGTAAGTACGTGCATAGTATAGAGCTAACGTTTTAATAGCTACAACAAGTAGAAGATGCAACAATAGATCTACGAATAATAAAAAGAATCAAAACTTATCAAGAATAGAGAATGTTAAAAGGTTTGTTTAGTATTTCTAAATATAACAAACTAGAAGGTGCTTCCAACTATTAGAACAACTTTAAGAAAGAAGTAACTATGGCATTATATGTATCCTAAAGAAGCTCACAAAACAATAGATATTGCAAAAAATTCAAAAGAATTAAAAAAAAAGAAAACAAAAACCAAGCAATGATAATGCTCATCTTGTCACTAAAAAATAAAACATGTTGCACCATATTTTAGGTGCAAAAGAATCAAATATAGCATGAAAGATCTTCAAGAATATATTTGAAGCAAGCAATTGAGCAAAGGTTCTACATCTTGATAAGAAGTTGTTACTGACATATGTATTTATTCCAATAATTACCTATATGATCAGGAAGAAATAGATAAAAGTAGATTAATTAGATAATAAGTTGTGAAGAAACTTCTTAGAAGGTTTATAAATGTGGCTTTGATTATATATGTGTATGTAGTTGATTGATAAGTTAGAACTTGATCAACAAGTTAGCCATGTGTTGCATATATTAGTAGCTTATGGAACAAACTAATTATATAGTATACATATAGAAAACTTGTCTTGTAAGTTAAGACATGTGCCACAATTTGGACATGTATTGGAGGTCTTATAGAATATTAGTACATAGTTTATAGTTAGATAGTATATACAAAAAGACAAGAATGAAGCCTTTTTTTAGTCTTATCAATGGCTTTCTAATTTTTAGACTTGTTTCAAGACTTTCAAGTATTCTTGTCTTTATAAATAGCTAATTTAGTTTAATATTATACCATCTTTGAGTGTTTCTTTAATCTTTTTGAGTGACACAAGAATGTATTGATCTTTCAATTTTCTAAGATTCATATCTTTGACAGTTTGACAAAAGTCCTAACTCATTGTTTTTTTTTTTTTTTTGTTTTAGAAATGAGTGCATTACTCCACTTCAATTATTATGTTTTTTGAAGATTGTAGACCATCCACGTTTAAACTAACTTATAGTTTTTTTACACTATTTTTTTTTTTATAAAAAGATAGGATTATCTTTCTTTGTAGAAATTTTCATTTGATATTAGAGGTTGCAGATTATCCTCCTCTAATTTAATTTTTTGATTTTTTTTGAATTATTTTTGGAAGAAAAAATTATAAATGCTACTCTTAGCAGAAATGAAAATAGATTTGTAACTATTGCAAATATTCACAAGCTTGTCAACACTCTTAGGGTACAAATCTTACATATTTCTAATATGAATCATAGAGAAACTATTCCTATGTCTATAGAAGGAATCAACAATAAATTTTAAAATTTGCTCAAAAAAATCATGTAATTAAGAAAAATAAATAGATCAAATTCATAACTAAATTTGAAAAGTCTTGTTACTATAAGTATAAAGGAGGCAAGGATAAGCATGCTTGAGAAGTTTAATAGAACAAGATCAAAGTTTTGAGGGTTTCTACAACAAGTAAAGTTCTATCTAAGGTTGCATTCTTCTCAATACTATGATGGATTTAATCAAGTCAGATTCATAAGAACACTTTTTTCTACAAGTATTCTTTTTTGGTTTGCACCTTTGATAGAAAAAGATTCAAGACTACTTTATGATTTATATTCATTTTTGGAAGTATTTATGGCTATATTTAGAAAAAATGATTATGAAAGAATAGCAAAGTCCAAGCTTGTATTTCTACAACAAGGATCACTTTCAACCACCATATATACTACTAAATTCTTAGCCTTCTTAGATTTAGGAGCTTCAATTGGTTTTATAGAAAAAGACTTTGTCAAAAAATAAGAAAATATCTTTAGTCAAAAAAACCAAATTTATAGATGTAGAAGTAATAAATGATCATTAATTATCTACTAGAGATATTATCTATCAAACTATTCTTTTAGTTGTAGCAATTAGTGGTCATAATAGCTTAATAATATTTAATAAAATTAAATCTCTTTTTAATTTAATTATTTTAAGATTATTATAGCTAAAATAATATAATCTTAAAATAGATTAGATTTATTATAACCTTGGTTTTTCTCTCAATTTAATTGAAAATTCTACTAATTAAGTAGAAATCTATAAATCCAATATATTCAAATCTTTTTGGTAGGTATCTGAACTTTCATGCATATTACAAAAGAAGGATCAATATTTGCTATATATGACATATCTATTTTTAATAAAAAAAAGATTTCAAGTGGCATTCAAAGCCAATACGAAGATTATCAAGACATTTTTTAGAAAAAAAATATAAATATTCTTGTAGAGCATTGTTCCTATGATTAATCTATTGTTCTTTAAAGAAGAACTCAACTACTATTTAGACTAATCTATAGCCTATTACAAAATGAGTTGGCTACACTCAAAAAATATATTGACAAGAATTTGGCTAAAAGCTTCAGATACTATTTTAAATCTCTATCAAGTTCTACTATCTTATTTATAAAGAAAAAAGATGGATCTCTGTGGATGTATATGGATTATTGAGGACTCAACAAGATCACCATTAAAAATAGGTACCTTCTATCTTTGATTTAAAGACTTTTTGATCAATTCAATCAAATAAAAATATATACAAAAATAGATCTATAAGAAATATACAACCTCGTATGCATTAAAAAAGAATATGAATGAAAAATTATGTTTCATATTAAGAATGGATATTTTGAATATAATGTCATGCTATTTGGACTCACAAATACAATAATTATTTTTCAATATTTAATAAATAATAAATTTTATGAATTCCTTGATGACTTTATTGTCTTTTATTTAGATAATATCTTAATATACTTTAAAAATACAAAAGAATATAAACTTTATATTTGTCATATATTACAAAAACTAAAAGATACAAGATTATATACTAAGATGGAAAATTATGTATTTTATACTAATCAAGTTGACTTTTTAGGATATATCATTTTAATTGATGGCCTTATGATGGATCTTAAGAAAGTTTAGACTATCATGAAGTGAAAGATTCCAAAAATACTCAGGATATAGAATATTTTTTGAAATTAACAAATTATTATCAGATCTTCATCAAGAACTTTTTTTAAGTTATAGCTCCTCTTACATGTTTGACATATAAAGAAAAATTTAAGTGAAGCAAAGAAATTGAAGCATCTTTTGAAGCCTTAAAGACATCATTTATTTTTGTACCAATTTTGTATTGTGTTGATTTTTTAAGGCATTCTTCATTAAAAAAAAAATGCATTAAACTTTGCCATGGATGCAATTTAGTCACAAATAAAACCAAATGACAAATTCCACTTAGTAGTTTTCTATTCCAAGAAATTCTTAGATTCTTAGAATAAAAAATTACAATTAAGATTAACTATAAGATCGATAACAAAGAACTTCTTACAATTGTGGATTCATTTTAAGAATGGCGTCATTATCTAGAAAGGACTTCTAATTCAATCACCATATATACAAATCATAAGAACCTCAAGTATTTCACATCTATATA